GTTTAAATTCAAAATTTTTGGAGTAATAGTTCTAAATTTTATTCTTTTGAAGTAGAAAAGAGAACAATTTGGAAGATCATATTGCCCTTATCTTTTAATTCATCTATATATCTATTTATTATCCATCTATCTGTCCACGTATCATTCATCTATTTGTCTATATTACCTATTCTGTCTTTGTCCATGTTACCACCACTACCTATCGTCACCGCCAGTGACTTTTCTGGTAACAGCGGTAGTCCGACGGTGATCATCATTTGAGCTTATAACCAAACATTTTCATTAATTATGTTCTTATCTTCATAAAAATATCAATATTCTTTTCTTTGTTGATAATGCTGAACTTTTCTTTGTTGATGTAACTGAGAGAACATTTTATTGGTGATTTACACATGCCTTTCCATATATATTCATGAACTCAATCATCAGCCGAGGACTAATGTCAAAATCTAAGCCATCATCATCATAATCAACTTTATGCATGTTTTGGATAGAGATATCAGTCAGTTGCACTCTCACAACAACCCACTTTTGGGGAGAGATTTAAAAAGGGAAATAAAAAAGATAAGTGAAATGTAAATAAATCATGCCTATATTTCACATAATTTTACACATATTTTTCTTTTCCCTTTTCAAATCCCTTCCCAAATCCCCCAACCAAACACAACATAAAGGAAAATCTTTCCCCAAATGGAGTTTGAATGCCAAATATATAGTTTTTTCTTTTTCTTTTTCTTTTTCTTTTTTCTTTTTTTTTTTTTAAGAAAATTTTTTTTTTAAAATATTTTTTCAATATTCTTATGTTTGTTTGGTTGTCTAAAATTTTGACGTGGCTTTCAGTTTTTTAGTTTATAAACAAATGTAGAAAGGAAGAAAATAACTTAAATATTATTTGGTTAAGAATTTTCTATTTCTATATTTGGACTATAAGTTAAAATAATTTTCAACAAAAATATTTTTATCATAATCTAAAAAATAACTTATTATTAAAAATTTCATAAATCATTTTTTATTAAATTTACTTCCAGCTCGGCTCTTTCAATACATTGATCTTTTCAAATGTGAAATAATAGCATTTCATTGCCTTTCTACCAAACAAGGAAACTTTCTCTAAGTGTAAGGCTCAAAAACCATGACTGAGGGCGTGCTTGTTTTAGTCCAATGGCCATGGGATTGGATTGTGTTTGCTTGCAATAAAAACCTTAGGACTAATAGTCCGTTGTTATTCTAATCCCATGGCATTCGAGAATTAAAGTAGAAAAAGATAATTTTGTCCTCCATTTTATGAAAATAACATAGTTATATTTTATATAATAAGAACTTTTACATAATTTTATATATTTAGTCCTAACCAACTAATATCACCACACTACAAACAAACATAATTTTTATTAGTCCCCTCACTAACAATGTCTTCACTAACAATCCTTACACTAACAATTTCATCTAACCTAACTATAAAACTAAACGGGTTGAGTTCTGAATATTGAACCCAATAACTAATGTAATCTATATTCTAAAAGTAAACTAGCTATTATAGATCTCAATAAAATAAGCCTAATAAAACTAATCTAGTTGAAATAAATCGGGTTAATTGCCGATCAATTCTATTTAGTAGATTTCAGTACGTAAAAGTTCTATGCAAATGTAACAATAAATCTTAAAATACCTATATTGTCCTTATTAAATTTATTACCCCCATGAAATTTCTCATTTTTTATTTTTTATTTTTTTACTTTCTTTCTAGCATTTCTCTAGAGAGCTTCAAACCCTGCTGTCTACCGCAACTGCCACCATAGATGTCCACCTACCACCGCCGTCGTTATTGTCATCATTCAATTGTTGCCACCATTCACCAACCACCTCCACCGTTGATGAACTATACTCTAACGTCTTCGATCTACACACTACCACCATCCTTCGTCACCATCAACACCACACACTTCTCATGATCATCCTCTTCTTTTGTTGCCCTCACTTCATTGATGACTTTTACATCTAGTCATTTCTTTCCAACACTGATCTTAACCGGTGACTTTAAATCTTGCCATTTTAAATGTCGATTTATTATTCGGGACACCAATTTGGTATTGTATCCCTCATCCTCTTGAGATGTAGCCATGACATAATTATATTCTATATAATAAGGACTTTTACGTAATTTCACAGATTTAGTCACAACCAACTAATATCACCACACTAGTATACAAACAAACATAATTTTTATTAGTCCTTTCACTAACAATTCATTATTAATAATTTTCACACTAACAATCCCATCTAATCTAACTATAAAAACAAACAATCCCATCTAATCTAACTATAAAAACAAACGGGGCCGAGTTCTGAATATTGAGCCCAATAGCTAATGTAATCTATATTCTAAAAGTAAACTAACTATTATCAAGATCTCAATAAAATAAGCCCAATAAAACTAATCTAGTTGAAATAAATTGGGTTAATTGCCGGTCAATTTTATTCAATGGATTTAGGTACCTATAAGTTCTATGCAAATGTACTAATAAATCTTAAAATACCTATATTGTCCTTATTAAATTTATTACCCCCATTAAATTTCTCATTTTTCATTTTTTTACTCTTTTTGCGATTTCTCTAAAGAGCTTCAAACCACCAGTCTACCACAACTGTCTCATAGATGTCCACATGCCACCGCCATCGTTATCATTATCATTCTATCAGCGCCACCATTCACCAATCACCTCCACCATTGCAAATCTATACTCTAACATCTTCGATCTTCACACTACCACCCTCCTTGGTCACCATCAACACCACACATTTCTCACCATCATCCTCTTCTTTTGTTGCCCTCATCTCACATATGACTTTCAAATCTAGTCATTTCTTTCCAATACAGATTGTCACCGGTGACCTCAAATCTGACAATTTTAAATGTTGATCTATTATTTTGGACACTAATCTAGTATCGTATCCCTCATCCCTGTGAAGATGTAGCCATGACATGATCGTCGGAGGTCCTACCAATGAGGTCGAGCCTCCCTCACTCTCTTTTTATGTGTGTTTACATTTATATCAATGGATTTCTATCAATTTGTTCGTAAAAATCTGGTTAAACCAACTTTTTTGTTTATAAAGTCTAGACATTAGTGAATAAAATTACGGTGAGAAATATATCAATCTTACTTCTTTTTGTGTTATGTTGGTGTGTTTTTGTGAATGAATAAATGAATGGGAGTGTAAGAGTAAAAGGGAGTAATTGATTAAGTAGTCTGGAAAATTTTGATCAATGTTATCAGTAATAAATTTATCATTGATATTTATCCTCTTCCGTCTACTCCTCCCTTTCTCTTGTCGCCACCAGATCTGAGGACATGAACAGAGTTATGAGATAATGGAGAAAGAGGCTTTTGACCCCAAAAAATAGTCAGATAATTATCAAAAAATGTGGCCTAAAAATATCACTAGAGGTCGGAGATGATTACTGGTTGAAAGATTTTTTTTTTTTTGGGGGGGGGGGGGGGGGACTTAAATGCGCAATATTGATAATTGGGGATAAGGTGGTGAAAAGGAAAGCATTTAAAAAATGTTGATAAACCTGACATATAAGTAAATATGTCTCATTCATAAGACTAGTGTATACACACCCAAACTCATCATACTCAGGTTAGATTGAGTTGGGCTTCAATGGCTATTCAAATATATAACCAAATTTCCCTGCGATAATAAAGGATTAAAAAATATATACTAATTTCATACATTTCGTTAGGTAGGTTAAGGCCTAGTTTGGGAAGACTAAATAAGTGTACTTTTTGATTTTTTTTGTATTATGTGTAGAAAAAGTAGAGAGGAGATGTTGATTGATATAACCCAAAAAAAATAAAAAGATGAAATAAGTGCACTTTTTTCTTTGTAGCCAAACTTGGCCTAAGTTACTATTAGAAATCATTGTAATTATATGAAATGTAAGATTGGCAATAATTTATTCACACTTGAGAAAAAGTCTATAATTTACCCAATAAAAATTCTCATTTCAGTGAAGTATTTAGCATTGTCCAGCACAGAGATTGAAACACAAAAAAAAAAAATTAGCATTGTCCAGCACAGAGATTGAAACACGAAAAAAAAATAAGGAAAAAAAATTAACAAGCTGCCATTTCACAACATTTACAATTTATTTTTATTTTTTTTGTTTACAAAAAATATTAAACATGTATATATTTATTTGGGATAAAAATAAAAATAAAAATCATATTTGGTACGTAAGTATTTTAAAATTTTATTTTGAAAACAAATAAGAAGGGATAGTTGCAAGAGGTAGTTAACGAATAGAGATGATAATTGGAGGTAATTGTCAGCCACTATTGGCTGAAGGTGGTTGCCACGGGTGAAAAGTAGTTGGAAATGGCAGGATGTGGTGGAAAGCCGTAAGAAATGGTGGCTAAAAATAATTGTCAATGGTCGAAAAAAGTAGTGGTCAAAAATAATTGTCGAAAAAAGTGATCCGTCAATTGTGATAGTTGAACGTGATTTTCAACAAAATGTACTGGTCAAAGGTGGTTAGCACTAATGGAAGGTGATTGGTGGCAATGGCATGTGATTGATGATTGAGGGAAGTGGTGATCAGAGGTGGTTGGGAGAAGTAATTAGCAATGGTAGCCAGTAATGATAAGCAATGTGTAAGGATCAAAAGAGGAAGAAAAAAAAAAATTAAACAAAAAAGTAAAATCAATTTTTGTGTTCACAAAATTTAATAAAATTTGAAAATTATTTATAACTTTTTGAAAACGAAAACAAACAAAATGAGTTTTTATTTACAATTTTCAAAAATTCTGTAAATATAAACAAAAAATTATAAATATAAACATTATCAAATAGGCCCTGAGCTAAATAAAACAATTTCTTAATTACTAAAAAGTTAATTAAAAAATACAAAAATAATCATTGGAATAAAATTGCCAGAAGAAAAATGACATAACAGGTAGTTATGCAATTTTACTAACAGACCCTAACTACAGAGATTGAGACCTCAAAAGATATTCCATGACAAGCTTGGGTAATGCAAGTTTTCTAAGTTCGCTTACGAAAACAAGTCAAATAAACTAATGAATATACTATCTTGCATACACTTCAATTAAGGAGCAGCAAGATACTGATAAAATGACATCAAGGTTTACAAGTACATTTAGTTCTATCAAAGAACCCAAATTTATCATTTGGACACTTGATCAGATTAGGTACACAGCATTTTAGATGTCCATATGCTAAAATTGAGCTCAACATGTCAATGTGGTTTCAATATAGATTGAAAACCTAAAGCCGACAACTCCAATTGGATGATTTCAGACCCCCTGAACACAACAAATACTCAGATTAAAACAACTAACAATAAGAATGTTACGATACTATATAAATCAGGATTTGATCGTTATTTATTTATTTTTGAGTATACAGTTCTATTCTTCTCAAACTACACTTACAAAAATTCAAAATAGTAAAAACACCCAGTCATATAACAGGCTTGAACTACAAATAAATCTGTGACCCAATTATGTTTTTTTACGGCGTATACATATTTTCTTAAGATATTTTTAATAGTTTTGCTTGGGATCCCAACTAAACTACCGAAGAATCTTACACCCATGAATGTGGTGTGTAGAATTTTCAGTAATTTCCTAGGGATGCATAACTTTTTCCTATTTTTTAATAGATTAACTGACTGTAATTGGACATACATTCAACTGTTATCTTCTATGTCTTGCAACCATGATCTAGACCCAAAAATGGACATTCATAAGAAAATTACGTCCTACATATAGAAAATTTTATTGTATTTATTAATGTGTTAGCTGCCGTGCGCCAGTTGTGCAGTGCTTCCATCTGGAAAACTCTATCCATACATAAAATTCAAACAAAAAACACCAAAAGAATGATGTGGAGTTGTTTTGTTTTGAAATGAAAGGTCACCCCATTAAGCCACATCGTCATTATGTATGAAATTTTTTTATGAATTTTCTGTTTGTATGTCATCCTCAATTACATCCATCTCTAAACATGATTCCAACTGTAGCCAGTTCATTTTCTATCAAGAACACAACCACCCACAGCAAGAACTTCAAGAAATGATTGGATGTATGACAGCTCAAATACATCATAGAAGTTATAAGGTAACTGGCAATAAATACAGTGGTAGATTTACCATCAGAATCAAAATAACCAGAAGAAGGAAGAGATGCAACACAGTTCTTAATTTATACCTCAGCTGGTGATGAAATGATTGAATCCCTTTCAGAACTCAAATGGCCACTCAATCTCCTGCATAAATACAAATAACTTCTTGAATCTGTACTTTATTGAGATAATGGAAATGCAGGTCAATACCTTGGCCTCTCAGACTTGGCGAGATGTTTAGACATTATGGACGCCTGCAATTAGACCCATGGTTATGATATAAGTTTGTCTCAGTTACAAAAATTAAAAACAGGTTGCAACACAATCATCACTGAACTGCAAAAGATTCATGTGTGTTTGGAAACAACCAGAGCCGCACATACATGAGTTAAAAGGGATGACAACGTTGGCCTGCAAACTATTATATTCACAAAAGTTACTTCGTTTCAATCATTGGATTAGAGTGTTTGACACTTGATGACACCACACCCAATTCCAACCATCCTACATTACTCAAACAAAATGCAGAAAATGTAACCATATCTCAAAGTTAATATTGCTGTCTTCAATATACAGACAGACACATGCACATGCACACATTCACGCTAAAAGCACATTATGCTATGCACAACCCTCTACATGCAAATTTGAGTATGGAAGTCCTAATTAATTCACCACCAAACATTTATAATATCCCTCCCTCATAATGCCTATCTATTGACAAGTTACTGCATCCAACACTTTGACCCTTGTTGGGATGAAATTAAACCCTTGTCTCAGTGTGGTGTGGATAAATCTTGGGAGTACCACATAAGAAATTCTGGTTACAAAAATAGTTCCACATACAAGAGCACTTTTTTGTTAGATTAGGGATATGGCTGGACAGCAGGTATGGGCCAGGAATCCCTAGCCTGGCCCTGCCCTACTAATAACTCTGTCCCATCCGTCCCATACCCATACCCACAAGAGGTTTCTGGTCTCAGCTCCATCCCCAACTGCAGAACTCCCCTTCAATTTCATACAACAACTATACAACCCTGCTTGGAGATTGATTATTAGAAGAAAGTTATTTCCAATATATATTAGGGGGGGGGGGAGAAACAATATGTGGAAAGATGATTATGAAGGAAATGCTCAAATCAAGAGATTGAAAAGAGAAAATATAACAGATCTAATAACAATGCATGTCAAGGAGAAGTGCAGGTGAGGCAACAAGGAGCTTCAGCTTCATAGAGCACAACATCAATAGTTAAGAGACATGGATTAGGTGTGTCATGCACTTGTATATATGGAGGCTCAAAAATTAAACCAATTGCTCCCCAAACCCAAATTGGGGTTAGCAAAAACTCACCCAGCAGAGCTGGGGTGGCACAGATTGCACATTTATTTTGGTATATTGCCATCCCAAGTTGGATATATGAATCAACAAAGACACCTGGATCATGCAGAAACATCTTATAGATGAACTTCTTTGCACTAGTAAAGATAATTCAATAAATTTACCAAAAGTAAATATTTCATATGTGATAAGTAGCATATTTATGCACTTTTAGTCTTAAATTGCAATGCATTTACATCCACCACTTCTTATTTCAGACAAGTTTTTTTATTAGAAAATTCAAGGATGTCTTTTATAATTGGTTGATGCTATTTTGTGTGGCTTTATTGAGTTTTAATGACATTTCATTGCAAAGGTAATTCTAGCCAACCAAAGACAAATTGTAGTCAAACTACCTTTCATGTTTGCACTGTTTTTTCTTTTTCTATTTTTTTTTTTTTTTTTTTTTTTTCTTTCGCAGTGTAACTACCAGCACAACATTAGGTTGGACAAATCTTAGTATTTCGGTCATAACTTTTGACTTGGATATGGGATTGATGAGAAATTTGTGGGCATTTGAAAGAACACAAGCTCTAAAAAGCCAATTTATTTCACTTTTTTAGGCCAATAAACCAAAAGTCACTTTATCATTTGCCACAAATAAAAAGACAAAATAACAAACTTGTTCCTAAAATAAGCCAAAAAATCAGAAAGCCAAAAGCTAGCATATTTTTGCAGAAACTTTTCATCTTTAGAACCTTTTTTCAACAGAAGTAATAAATTTAACCATTTGCATCTGTCAAGACTAGATGACCCTAAAAATTAAAAAAGAAAATAACTTGAAAAAGTCCATTAAAGGAAAAAACAACAAACCTACTTTTTTAGACTTTTTCAGCAAAATTCGGCTTACTTTCATCTGTAGTAGACTTGAAATTGTGCTTCATTTAAGCCTTGTGACATGATATAACTTGGTGCAAATTACTAACCAATTTTCTAACAAGGGCATAATGATTTAAAAGTGAATTGTGCCATTGGAAACTGAGAGTTAGGCTGATATTATTATCAATTCTTTGTTACTTAGAATTCTAGTGTCTCTAGTACTTCACATGTTCTCCAAGGTCTTGTGCTACCTTCTTATGATTTTCATGGAATTGAATAATCTCCATTTGCATTTGAAAAGAGGCTTTCAAATTTTGGATTTGTCATGATTATTAATTTTTGAAATCTTCGCAATGTTTCTCTCAAGGATTGTACATGGGGAGGGAAGGTGATGTGCAGCATATTTATGCACTTCAGTCTTAAATTGAAATGCATTTATATTCACTTCTCGCTTTACAGACAAGTATATTCATTAGAAAATTTAATAATGTCCTTTTATGATTAGTTGATGATATTTTTAGGCTTATTGTGTTTTAGGCTTACGTAATTCTAACCAATTCTAGCCAATGTAATTCTAGCCAACCAAATAGAGAAATTGTAACATGTTCCCACAGTTTTATTTTTTCTTTCGAAGTGACACTGCTACAACTAATTAGTTGGACCAGTCTCTCTATTTAGTCTCAATTTGGAAAGAAGACTACAAGTTTCCAACTTTGAATCTAAGGAAAATTTCCTAAATCGAACAATTTATGGGTTAAAATTAAGTATGAAATCAACCAAAAATGTGAACAAAGAAATCCACCTGTACACTTACAATGACGATTGGAGTATACCATGCAACTGATTGTTATGGCTTCAATTTGGTGCAACTCACAGCACATGAGCTCACTTGCAAATTTTCAAAGCAAAGAAGGTCCATCCAATTCAAGTTGTGTCCAAATAAAGACAAGCAATGAAGGGAAAATTGCAACAGATAAGAAACAAATCTGGACAGGAATTAGCTTGCACATATTGTTTCACACGTCACTTTCGGCTCACATATCAGATTGAGTCAAAATCAAATGCATTGGAAAGCTGATTCAGAGAGCAAGAAATTTGGGTTTCACGAAGACTTCTGGATTCAGACATTTAGAGGGTCAAAACAGGATGCCAATAGGAGCCAAAAAACTGGGATTTGGATATCTGAAATTTCCTTCTAGCAGAAGAATTCCTATGAGTGCTGAGGACTTACCGTAGGGAAAAGGACAAAAAATCAACCTTGGTGGTGGTCGACTGGCTTTGGTTCTTCTATTATTTTCTGTTTGAAGAGGATTAGTTCTATGTTTTCAGCTCTTTTTTTTTTTTTTTTGTGGGGGGGGGGGGGGGGGGGGGGGGGGGGGGGGGGGGGGAACTATGAGTAGCTAAATTGCTAGCAAAGGCAAGAGGGGAACCCCAATATTCTATTATGTGTTATTGTGATTACCAGTGTCATTATTCACAAATTACTACTTAATTTTTTGGGATTGAATTAACCGTTAGAAAATCACATGTTGATAAATTTTATGATTCATTATTATTCTTGAATATATGAAACGCATACTCTACGATTCGTTATGATTTGGGAATATAATGAGTGCGTAATTTTCTCTATAGCATGTTAACGGATTCAATTTCTCAATCAACTGCATTCAATCTACATTACACCTTCATTAAGTTTTTCATCATATTTTCCAATTAGGATAGCTGGCTCTCTAACTTAACTGAGTTAAAGATACTTCAAGTATGTGAAATAGGATGCCCGGTGGATCAATCCCTAGTGCTTTTCTCCATTGATTTCTCTTAATTCAAGTTTAATTTTCTTCAATCATCATTTCAATATCATTCTCTTGCTCCACTCCCTGGTGGATGAATAAACAACCAATTCATTTTAATTTTGTTCACAATAATAGAAATGTTACATAAGTGTCTACCATTCCTTGTGGATTGACCTGAGACTTAACGAGAAATTACTACTTGTGATACGGAGTGCTTGGGTTTGCAATCATTTTGTCATAGAAGTATATAATATGTTTGCAGTGCACAAGATATAGAGAATCATCTAGAATGCATGGCCGTAAAGATTAAATACCTAAAGAACTAGTAAAAAGGTTTATTTACCTAAACAAAAGCATGCCAAGGATAAACAAAACTGATTTTACTTCTTCAACAGATTCAAAATTGCTAATAAGTAGATATACATTTAAAAATTAGCTTTGGAAGTGACAAACTAGGAACAGTCAGGAAGGCTAGAAAAGAATAAGAAATAAATATGTATGATAAACAGTAAATGTATATAATTAAGGCAGTGCTGCCTAAAGGTTACAACATACAATATCCCCATGTAAGTGATCCATGCTATAAAAAATGACAGGAAAGCTATAGCTTGGTGCACTTGATAAAATTATGCAACTTATCTGGAGTAAATTCATGTAGATGCTAGGGGAAGGGGAAGACCTAAGTTGACATGGGACGTGATAGTGAAAAATTTATTTAATTTAGTTGAACACATGGCCCTTTATAGAGCTGAATGGCGAAAAAGGATTCATGTAACTGACCCCAATTGATTCAGACACAAGGATTAATTTTGTTTGGTTTAGTATCTAGAGTAAATTCAAACTTCATCCAACTATCCAACTATCTAGAGTAAATTCAAAGGGAAATGCATGAATCTCAAATTCAGTTTTTGATCCGCATTACTGGGAATGTTCAGTACCTGCTCCTGGATTATGCTTCTTGCCTCAACTAGTTGAGCTTCAAGCTCAAGCTCCCTTTCAGTTGCTTCAGAAGTGACTTCTGCTCCTTTTTGTGCATCTTGTAGCTGACCCATACGCTCCTTCAATTTTGAGAGCAGCACACAAAAAAAATTAATGACTTCAATATTAACCGACAAACAAACATGCCATGCACAAATGGTGAAATGTACTACACCTTTATGGAAGCCATTCCCTTTCAGTTGCTTCAGAAGTGACTTCTGCTCCTTTTTGTGCATCTTGTAGCTGACCCATACGCTCCTTCAATTTTGAGAGCAGCACACAAAAAAAATTAATGACTTCAATATTAACCGACAAACAAACATGCCATGCACAAATATGGTGAAATGTACTACCTTTATGGAAGCCATTTTATTTCGGAGACTTTCTTCTATTTGATCTCGAGCCATGTGAAAAGGCAGGTCAAAGACATCCTAGAAGTTATAAACTCATAAATCTTACTTCTTAAAATAGCAGTTCACCCATCAAGAAAAAATCCACTTGCATCATTTCCAACAATCTGCCATACCGTCCTCCCACCCAATGGGGACTGTGAAGGATCAGCATCCAGTCTTTCATTTAGAGGAAAAGATTGCTTGGACAGACCATTTGGAGCATTCAGGAAATCACGCATATCCACCTGTAAGTGAAATATATGATAGAACTGTTTACATACATGGAAAAGCTTCTTACCAATTTCATTACAAGTGAAAGATTTCACAGTATTCAATAAAGAACATCAATTGTGCAGATCCTTCTCCATTACCTCATCTTTCCCACAGGAAAACTAGTGTTCAACATAAAAATCATGTATATTTCAATTTTGAATTTTATACTTTCATCCACTGAGAAAGGAGCCCATTTGGGGAGATTGTGAAAATGTTGTTTAAAGGACAAAAAGCATCATGCTTGTAGGAAGCCCAAGCAGACTGACCAATACCAGTCCATGCAAGGAAGCATGTCACATCATATTTTCTTGTCAAGGAATAGTGCTTCCTCAGTGTAAAGACCTTTTACCAGAAAAACAAACAATATACACATACAAATACTTAGAGATATGTGTATGTGTGTGTGTGCGGGCATGCGTGCGTGCACAATTCATGAGCAGGGAAGGGGCCTCAAACACTTTAGCTCAGCCCAAAAATTGGACAGGCCAAAAATTGCAGCCAGCTTGGCAAAAGAGGCCTATGAATTACACCAAGCTCTGTGGTGACTAAACTGATGGAACCCCTACTTAGAATCACACATATATTGGATGTTTTTATGATTCCATACAATGATGGGTGTTACATTTAGACAAACAACTATCAGTGAAAAGTTAAAAGCATAGCATGGATCATCCCTCTACCGACTATTAGAGCCATGGTGTGAAGTATTTACCAATACCGCATATTGATATACACTGCTACTCTGTTTAGCAAGATAATACACAATCACACTACTAGAGAAACCATAGGTTGCCAAATATTTGATGCAATCATTTTGTGGATATCTCCTACCCTATTCACATGTTGTGCACACGTGGACAATGAGGTGTGCCTTACACATCAGCTATAGTACAGATGTGAGTCTGCCTTTATGGGACACGTGTCTGGGTGGAGATGGGAAACTTCATAGCATTTGAGAAAATGAGCCCAAGTCTTAAAATACAAATTCATGCTATGCTAGCATGTGTACCACAGTGGTTTAACCGCACAGCTCAAAGCAGTTCACTTGACTTCAGTTGTTGCAGTGGTTATACTACGAGAGCGTTACCCACATGGTAGAAGATCTGCACCATTTCCACACACATAAGATAAGAGGCAAGACTTAAGTATGTTGAAGTCTTTAGCAAAGCATCACAGGACTGTGGAATCTTATGGTTTAGTAGCTAGAGGTGTGGCTAGGTGTGATTTCCCATAGGCTAAGAAGCACAAACACTTCTGCAAAAAAAGTGTGTCGTGTTTGACACTGACACTGACACTCTTCGAACACTCCCCAAAGCGTGTCTGACATTTCTTCGATGTGACTTAATTAATATATCAAATTCATAATATTGGACACTTTACTGACACTTTTTGAACCTGCCAAACATGTTCTATGTGATGAATCCTTTCATAATAACGATGTTCTACATTCTTCAAAGCACAGCTAACACAATGTAAATATGTTTGGAACATTTAAAATGAAGAATACACTAAATGCATTACAACGTTCTATAATTATTTTACATTCTTTATAATGTAATTATTACATAAATGGTATCTTGATTTTAAATAATAATATATAGCTTTTAATGTAATTAGTGCTATGTTGCATATTTTTCATTATCTTTAATAAATAATTCATTTATATGACATAAATTTGTGAAAACTTAATTTTAACATGTCCCAAGTGTGTCATGTCGTGTCTCGTGTCCATGTCTATGACACTTAGTCCACGGGTGTCACAACCTTAGGCCAGCCTTAACAAGACAGAAACTACGTCACTAGGCATTTGTATGGATGCTCGAGGATTGAGGCAAACCCTAACAGAATGATCTGCTATGATATCCCCTAACACAGTATTTTAAAAGGCTCTAGGCCCACCGAGGCACAAGGCAAAGCACGCGCCTCACCAAAGTGAAGCTCAAGTAGTAAAAGAAAAGCAAAATTATAAAATAGGTAAATTTTTCAACATAACAAATATATATATAATATTTAAAAAATCATAACCATTTTTAATAATCTCTAAACATAACATTCAATCTTCTAAAAACTAGAAATATAATATCCAACAAAAGATATAAAGTATAACATTCAATCTTTCATCACTTTTTGCTCTCTTATGACTACATTTGGTCATTTTATATTGAATAGTTTTGAATCCCTTTGGTTATGTCTACAAAAAAAGCACTTAATCAACAATTGGAGTAGAAAAATGGATAAAGCCCATGAAGCCCACACCTTACGCCTCGAAAAAAAGCCCTCGCCTCAACGTCTAAGCTGCGCCTTGCATGTTGCGCCTCACCTTGATCTGTTCGAAGCGCAAGATTGCGCCTCATTGCGCCTCGCGCTTAGGCTCACGCCTAAGCGTGCCTTTTAAAACACTGCCCTAACATACTCTAACCTAACAGAATTCTGAAATATTCAAAAAGTTTATTATGCCGCATGTGAGCAACCCCTTATAAATAAGAGGTCTTACCCTATTTATATCTCACTCAATTTGAAAAGTCCAAACTCACTCAATTTTAGGCAAAATTTGTGCCTAACTTGAGGTTCTGGAATTCTAGTTTCATTTGAAATTGGTTTCACTCAAGGATTCAAACTAGATCCTGAGTTACAGTCTTTGGAAAGTCGGGTGCTACTCTATTACTCCAATTACAAAAACAGTTGAATAATCTTAGTTTTGGTCAACCAAGAGTAGCCTAGATGTCTTCTAAGGTCTAAGTCTTGATCCTAGATGATTTTACCTAAGACAGTTTTTGTCTTGTTACTTGGCATCCTTCTAAATGATGAAACTTGGCTCTTAATGCTTAGCCTTTGACCTCTTTAACTCTTTGATGCCATTTTAAAATTATCCAGACCTTGAGGCTCATATGAGCTTGCACTGTTGAGAGAGTCATCACTGACTCCCTTTCCTCTGAAATTTTCTCTTCCTTTCTCTCTCTAGAAGTTTCTTGCTCTAGATATTTGTCCTAGGCTTATCTCTCTAAACTGTAGATTTTGCCTAATGGAAGTGATGGTTGTGCATTAAAGAACCTTTGGTTGCCACCTTTAATGGAGATTTCCAGAGTGTTCAATGTCGATGGAGGCAACTGAGACTAGTAGCTATAAATAGGAGATAGGCCTTAGTTGCGTATAAGGTGTCAGAGTGTGTTGTATTCAAGTCTTGTGTGCAAGTGGTGTCTCTTAAGGGTCTTGGGTCAAGTCAACATAAGTATTATAGTGAGTTCTTGTAGAGAGTACTTGAGTGTACTATTGTAGTGTACAAGTGTCTTGTGTACTTGGGAGTGCTATTAATAAAAGCTACTCTCTTTTTTTTTATTTTGTCAAACTCAACAATTTGGTATTAGACCTTGGTTGTACAGTACCGTGAACAATTGAGATTGATATGGGTGTTGTTGCAGCTAGTGTTACCCAAAAATGCCACTACCCTAGTGATTTACATTTCGGAACAGACATTCCGAAACATGGTACACTTCCATTCCAAAACGGACAATTTAGCAATAAAAAATGATCGTAAAATTTTCCAATAGGATGGGGAAAAATCAAATTTTATGAACTAAAATATAAAGAGTGGAGTTTTCACATGACCAGTGTTTTAAAAAGCGAGCCTAGGCGCTAAGTGAGGCGAGACGAGGTGCAGGGTTGGCGCTCGAAGCAGACGAAGCGAGGCGCATTGCAAGAAGCGCACGCAAGGTGCTGAGGCGCACGCCTTTCGCCTAGGCTCAAAGCGCACGCTTCGTGTGCTACGGCTAGGCTTGACCTATTTTGTGTTTGTGTACTAGCCACATAGGATTAAAACTCTTATACAATACAAATCTATTGGTGAGCTTGTTTGAATCAACGAAGCCCCTTGTTGCGACCAAAATTTGAGCTTCAACATCAACGTCGTCTTCAGGTTCGTCTCTTTCGTTTCTTCTTCTCTCCTCTTCTTCTTCTTCTTCTTCGTCTCTGTTGTTCATTTCTTCTTCTCTCATCTTTTCTCTCTCTGTTTTTCGTTTCTTCTTCTCTTTTCTCTTCTTCTTCTTCTTCTTCTTCTTCTTCTTCTTTGTTTTTTAGTTTTTCTCCTCTTCTTTCATCTGTCTTTTCTTCTCTCCACTGGTTTCTTCTTCAGTTTTTTTTTTAATTCTTTCTTCTTCATTGCTTAATTCTTCTCTTCTCTGGTCTCTATTTTTTTTTTTTTTTTTTCCTGTAATTGATATGTTGTTGTTGATGATGATGTTGATGTTGAAAATGAAACAGATTTTTTTTTTTTTTTTTTTTGCCTTTTCTTGTCCTGTAAAAAAAAATAAAATAAAAAACATCTTGTTGAGTCAAATGTCGAGTGCTGAAAGTGGAAAGAAAGATCTAGCATGGAAGTATTCAACGATGGTAAATCCCGGAAACCTAAGTAAGTTCAAATACAATTTTTGTGGAAAAGAGATGAATGGGGGTGTCTGTCGAGTTAAGCAACATCTTGCTGGAGGGTATAGGAATGTGACTAAATGTGTTAGATGCCCAACTAAGATTAGAGAGGAGATTTTTGAGTTTATGGCTAAAAAAAAGCAAGTTAAGGAGCAAATCAACTTGATGCCCGGTTTTAATGATATGGTTAATGAAGAAGATTTTGAGGATAGGGATGATCTTGTAGAACTCCCTCAGCATGGTAAAAAGTCCATTCCTACTCAAGGTTCTACTCAAAGAACCAGCTCTGGTCCTGTTCAATCCAAACTTAAAAGGCCTAGGAAGATAGGGCATATGGATTGTTTCTTCACACCTGATCCAAATGTGGTGGCGCAAAAACAAAAAGACAAGGGGAAACAAAGTAAAATTGATGAAAATGATCCCTATAGGAAAGAGTTAATGGAACGCACATATGTTAGAATTGTAAGATGGATGTATGACGTTGGGATTCCTTTCAATGCAGTGAATTATGACAGTTTTGGGCCAATGATTGAAGCTATCGGGCAATTTGGTC